TCCTTCCTTCCTTCCTTCCTGAACTGCAAAGGATCATAACATCTCTTCAATCCTCCATGGACCACCTGTGAGGACATTGTGACACCCCCCCGGGGTCTGTGGACCACAGGTTAAGAACCGATGGAACAGAGTTTGCAAAAGTTTTTTCCTAGATCTACGATTCCAAAGAATTCCCCCAGTCAGCATGGCATTTTGGGGAGGTTTTGGGGTTGAAATATATTTGAGTTCAAATATATTTATTTACCCTAGTAGCTGTGGTGCTGGTGAGGAGGAATATAAAATTAGAGTCATGCATTTTCAAGTCATGCACTTCTTTAAAAAATGAAAGATGGACATTTTTCAAGCTATTCTTTGTAAAACTGATGCAAGCTATAATAGAAACTGACAAGCTGGAGCTATTTAAGGCAAGTATTCTGATCTATCATAAGCCACATGCATTGCAATACTCTTGAATTATGCTGTCATGGGCACTTTTGAAAGAATACCAGCACCCAGCACCCAGATTTCATTAATTGTTTTCCCATCATTTGCTGACCTAGTGAAACATGTCTTATTTTCTAAAAAGTGCCTTATCGACAACATATTTATAGCAGAAAAGTTTACGTTTCTTTTCCTGGAAAGATCATTCATGATTTCCTTCAGGAGGTTTTACATACCAAGACTGCCCTATTAAATCCTATTGAACAAACTAAGATTCATTCCTGAATAGACAGGAGCAAGACTGACCATTGCTTGCTTGCTTGCTTGCTTGTTTTTAAAATGCTACCTTTTGTAACTCCTAATTTTAAGCAGCTGCAAATCCTCACTAGCAATATAAGAGTGGATAATGATCAGCCTTATCGTTTTATGTAATAACTTTCCTTTTTCTTATTCATGGCTGTTATATAATTCATGCCATTGTTAATTCACAGTCTGTCAAATACATTTATCTTAATTACGGTTAAATGTCCATTCAAATTCAAAAGCAATAATTTCTATCCACATTTTGCTTTGAATTCTTGCTGTATACAGGCATTCACTTTTCCTTGTCACCCATATGTCCCAATTTTTAGAACAGCATTAAAGGATTACACTAACCGGATTGCAAAAAATGAAAGATAGGATAACAAACAATAGTCAAAAATGTCAACTGTAACTATTGCTGTTATTTAGCTGTATTATAATTTACTGATTAAAATATTGTTCTTTGTAGCTATTTAACCATGTCAATGAATTATACAGTTTTTTTTTAAAAAATCAGGCAGGTTCAGAGAGCAAACAGATGCACCATTCCATCTGGAAAAAAAGATTTCAAGATTTTTTTTCCAGTTCAGTCTACTGTTCATGTACCTCTTCTCTACTTTTTCTTACATTGTAATAAAAATGGGAAAGTGGTAAAATCCAGATCCATGAAATAAATGTATTTGATCTTGAATCAACTTTGAATATTATTTGCACAAGTGAGATACAGGGAAAGCTTATTAAGTCATTCAATAACTTGGGGCGAAGTCTAGTTAGTTTCACCTATTTCAGTTTTCACTGGAATCTGTTTCACTGCTCTAGAACTAATATGCAAATGGAGTCACTATTAAGCCAACTATATGAATGTGGAAAGACTGAACAAGATCCAAGAATGTATTTTGTTAACAGATACCAGAGGAATTAGAATGTATTTTCCCTACCACTTTTGCTGTAGCCCTCTGTTGCACCAAAAATGTGCTCCAAAGAGTCTTCAATCATATGGAGCAGATTTTTAGGGTGAATGGGAATTTACAGGAGGGAGAGTGCCATCAATTCTGGTAGAAGAAGTAGGCTCCTGCAGAAGTACATGACTGAAATAAACTATGGCCATTAAAAAAAGAATAAAGTTGAAACCAGCCCACTAATCTAAACTCCTAAAGACCCTAAAATATGGTTGTTTTCTGTCAAGAAAGAAAGAAGAAAATGTAATAGTGTCATAAATTCATGTAACAGCCATTGGGACATTATAATAGTGTCATAAATTCATATAACAAAGCATATGTGTTTATCCGGAAGGATCAACTGTCATTTCTGATGAGTATTGAATAGTGTTGTTTATGCTGTGGCTCCATGATCAACAGTGGAACAAAATGATGGTTTATTTTAATAGTTGTGCACATTAATTCATCACAAAACTACTATGTGCCATTACGTTATCATCACCAAAATTCTTTCTCAGCAAACATCTATCAATAATTTGAATCAAGATTTAGTCATGCTTAGAGTACATTCACTGACTGGGATTTTAATTAGTTATGACTTGTTTGTCCCATAGATTTAAATGGGTTTATTTAAGCAAGACTAATTCTAACCCAAACCAGTATTTTTATATTTCTTACACAGCATACATTTTTATCTTGATAGTCCTATATACCTGTGTGTGTGTGTGTATGTGTGTGTGTATAAGTTGCTGTTAAGTCTATTTTGCTCATTTTGAACTAATGACATTTCTACTCATAAAATAGAAGCACATTTTCTAGATCCAGAAGGGGCCCCAATCCAGCTAAACCTGATCATAATTAAGTACCACTGAAGCCAAAGGAAAAGGTTTTCAGTTGAATTACAGTGCTATCTTTAGCGATGTTTCTAAGCAGAAATATATACGTACTGCCTCAACACAGTTGAGGAAATCACATGTTTTATTGAGAGATGCAAACATCTTAAGTGCATTTTCCAAAAGGGGCAATTTGCCCGAAGCCTAGTATGTTTCTGCCGTATGCATACTAGGAATCATACTGGCAATTTTTTTATTGAATGGTGGTACTAAAATGTCTATGGTATGCTAACAGTAAATAGAAGTAATGTTAAGTTCTGCTGCAATGAAAACTCTTACTGTGGAGTAAAGTCATTCAGAACTCTAATATAACATCTATTTTAAAATTAATAACATCCTAAGTAGGAAATCTTCTATTTTCACACTTTTCCTACTTAAGCTGGTCTATCCCTGCCCCACCCCCACCCCAAATCACAGAAATGTAAAGCAACGATACAGTCTAATGTGTGCTTACCTTTGTTCGCTTGAACCTGGAGAGCAAGGCAAATGATGAGAAATATGAATCCCGTCTTCAAATGCATTATGCTTTTTTATCATTCACAGTTTTTAAGAATGGTCCCGCAAGAAAAAGGATGAGATTTGGCTGAACAAGACAAGTTCTTTTTAAGGAAACGAAATACCCAAACTTCGTCCTAGCTGCACTTTTTAAGAAAATATGTCCGAGCACCAAATAGTTGAGAATGCGAAGTGTGGACCACAGGCACCGGGGAAAAATTTTTTTGACAAGCTCACACCACCACTAACCCAAAGAGAATGAAAGTAGGACTGGTCGGAGAATTCTGGGAAGAGTGACGAAGTTTAAACAACAACCAAAAAGCAGTGTCTGTTTCTGGAATAAGCTGTTTATCTGCTGCTCAGACATAATCCCTCTTATGGTCCAGCTGGAAGAGCTGCCTTCATCTTATTAACCTTCTGGAGTGGCATCTGTCAACCCCAGAAGACTTTCAGTTAGCACCGCGGTAAACAACGGAAGTTTTCTGCTGGCCATAACTTGTCACCACTTGTCATTTGGACATTCCAGTCATGTGGCCTATGTCATATTGAGAGGCCTTGCCAAAGGACAGCAGCAGAGGGTCTTATTTTGGTGAGGTGCATTCATAGCTAATGAAGATCCATTCAGATGGTGCGGAGCCTTTCAAAAATGTGAAAAGGCTGCTTTTGCAATGTCCAAGCGAGCAATGTCATTACTCAGCAGGAAAGTTCTGTAGTAATCACAACTTGGAACATCCAATTCCAAATTAGATGGGGTGGGGTGGGGGTTGGAGTAGCAGAGGGACATTATTGGTGGGAGGGAAGCAATGGAAATAAAAGACATGGGCTTCTCAGCAGCCTGAAGCTGAGCAGAATTGCAAATCATGTTAATAATAAGCATTTCCTTCTACATATAAGCATTATAATACATAATAACAGTCATACTGCTAGTAATATGTAATAGTTGTAGGAATTACAAATGCTTTATTGCTTCATAGTTAATCAGGAGGCATAAATAGAAATTAAACCACTCTTAAAAGACAATATTTGGCACCTAATATTATAATAGTTGTACTATGTGTGGTATGTGTGCATCCAACCACAGTAGATCTCTTATTTTTGTTTGATTTGATTTTTTAAAAAGGTTGCATATCTTCCAAATGTCAGGAATAACGATGGAACGGAAGTTTTCTATTTCTTGCATATGCAGCTTGCCTTGACCAGGCTTCACGCTGTGAAGCTGTTCACTGCCAACAAGAACCTTTCCCAGCTTTGCAGGAAGAAGATGATGCACTAAGAACAACCTTCATTTGAACCTGGTCAAGCTTCTATTTTTACTTGGGATTTAAACAATGGCAAAAGAAAACAAAGGTCACTCTCCTCCACCTTCTTGGAGCAATGATTATGAGGTTGTTGCTGCTGGGGCCATTATTTTACCTACTGTTCTTCCTGTTTTTATTGTTTGTGTGTGTGCATTGCATATGTTTAAAACAATCTTTAGGGGGTATCAATTTTTCTTTTCCAAGCAAACATTTCCTATAGCTTTCAGGAAAAGAAGAGAGAGGTTTGTTCCAAGGACTCGCCAGTCTTGAACAATGGAGCTTGAGATTTACTCTGACCCATACACGCTAGAGTATAATACCAGTAGCGGTATAACTATGCCAACATTTCTTCTTTCAGATCAGAGTCAGAATGTAACTCCCACCGTAATTAAACCACGCAGATCCCAGCAAGAAAAGATGGGGAACCAAATGGCTTATTTCTTGGGCAGATTTTGTTCTTTAGCACTCCAGGAACTCTTGAAGGAGCATTACCTCTGTAATTACAATGAGCAGTTTTTCCAGGAGGACTGAGTGTTCTCTGAAAAACTTGCCTTTACACTGTAGCCAAGATACCCATTATGAGAAGATAATGAATAGAACAGGACATCAACATGATCAACACAAAAGCAAAATTAAAGATATTGAAAAATGTGTGATAGGATTAAACCCCAGTAAGGAAATATAAGATAACATCTCCTGAAAACACCTATACTTATTATATATATGGAACATTCTAGAGAGTACATGTTCTACACAGAAAAAAAAACCCTGCCTACAGCAGTTAAATTAGACCAGGAGTCTCCAAACTTTTCACAGTTAGGGCCACATAATATATTTTTCATATTTTTGAGGGCCGAAGAAAGGCGCATGTATGCCTGCCTGCACTTCCACCCACCTATCTGCCCACCTACCCGCATGCATGCACTCCTGCCCTCCTGACCACCCGCCCACCCACATTCCTGCCTGCGTGCGCACCTGCACACATGCACGGGCTGGATAAAAAGACAAGGTGGGCAAGATGTGGCCTGTGAGCTGTACGTCGGAGACCCCTGCATAACACAAACATGGGACTGTACAAGTGTTCTTTCCATTAGTATATGCAACACAACTCCTAAAATTTTAAAGGGTATAAAACAAAGACCAAGAAAATGTTCTGCAAAATGTTTATAGCACTGACGTATAGAAAATTTGGAGCCAATTTGTGATTGAAGTACAAATTTACTTGCAAAATAAATCCTGCTAAATCCAAGGGACTTATTTCCCCATGAACATGGGTAGATTTGGGTTGTATGTGTGTTTTTCTAATGTGGTTCTGAGAGCTATCAGTAAATCATCAAGGTATAGCAGTACCTTATCCATATTTCCTGTTAATTAAAAACCTGGTAACGAAAGTTGATAACTGCCACTGTGGAAGCAAACAAGAATGATAAACACTCATTATAGCTAAAGCAATGTTGTCAAGGGACGGCTGCTTCTCTAAGCACTGCTGTGTTTAATTATGGGTCACTGTTAATTAATCTAGAAGTGCTTCTTCTAGCTGGTTTGCTGTCAAAAATAATTATATATTCTCAAAGAGGCAAAAAAAATTGGCTGTGTTTCAACAACACATTTCAAACATACAAGGCAAGCACAAAAAGGCCATGCTTTGAGCTGAAGCAGTCATTCATCCAAGAGAAGCACACAGAAATGGCTGCCAGGAAGCTCATTTGTCACTGTGGAGAATCCAGTAACAACTCTGCAATAACATATTCCTGAAGCAGTAGCATCCACACAAAAGTGCCTTTCCTATTTCTTTTTCAATTGGAGAAGCATTATGAGGTCATGTAGAGCAGTGGTCTCCAACCTTGAGCCTCCAGATTTTCTTGGACTACAACTCCCAGAAGCCCTCACCACCACCACTGTTGGCCAGTATTTCTGGGAGTTGAAGTCCAAGAACATCTGGAGGCCCAAAGTTGGGGAACACTGATGTAGAGGGTTGTTTTGTTCTCACCTGGAAATGTTGCCAGAAATTTTGGATCAGAGATGGAAAACAGGTGATCTTCCAGATGATGAGGGACTATTGGTCCCAGCATCCTTCACCTTTGGCTGCACTGGCTAAGGCTGATAAGAGCTGCAGTCCACCAACTTCTAATCTAATGCTCTAGTGAATAGAATCCATCTGTATGCCCCTACTAGTCTCCTCACTAATGTTCAGCAACCTGCTGTGACCTAAAAAAGAGAATCTGGGGAAAGGCACTGGGTTGGTTCCAGCTTTCTTTCACCAGCAGGAACATTTCCTGAGCAGAACTCTGTGCTCAGAACACTCTGACTACTGGGAAGCCAGGAAAGTCCTTCTTCGTGGCACCTGGCACCACTCTCCTCCTGTTCTAGAGAGCCCCTTGATGTGCTAGAGCTGCTGACTAACAAGAAAATTGAAGGGTTGGCAAAAAGTACATTTTGTTTGGTCCTAAAGACACAAGGAGCCATGCTGCAGAACAGAACACAACGAGCCCACAAGGATCAGCCCCAAGGTCTCTCTTATCTAGAATTCTCTTTGTACAGTAACCAGCCAGCTCTCCGTGGCAGAACATGAGCACTATTGCCATCCTCCAACACAGGTTCCTCGACAATTAAAAGAGAAATACTGCCTCTGATACTGCAAGCAATACATAGCCATCCTGGCAGGAATGAGAGAGCAGTTGTTGCTTGTGTTTAGGCCACAGAGCTACTGATGGTTCTATAGTGAAAATCTGGGTTCTTCTTCTTTTGAAAAGAGACATAGAGAGAAACTTCTAGGCTTCTTCTGGTTGCTGGGCAACACTTTCTTTGTTATCCAGTTTGCACCTAGGGCTATTTAACTCTGCACCTTGGGGAATTCTGCTACTCTTCAAAGAGAGTTTCATACAGTACATGGTTCACTCTGCAGGAAGTGATGAAACTATGCTTGAGGCACACGATTGAACATGGTGATAAGGAAGGGAAGAAAGAGTTCCTGCTTCTTCAAATGTAGAAGAAATATCAACAGCTCCACCTTTTCCCGCCATTGTGCCTGCCAAAATTCTGCATTCTGTACCACTATCAAAAGCTCTAGGAGCCCAGTCCAACTTTTATAGTTGGTTATTTTCATAAGGAACAAAGTGGAAGGTGCAACAGCTCTGCAGCACAGACCTCAAAGCACTTCAAAGCTACAGACCATATCTCAAGGTGAGAACTTGGCAATACTGTTTATATCTGTAATTTTGAAGCTGCTGCATAAGCAGTGGGATATGGAGAGCGTACGACAAATCTTATTTGTTGGTGCTGTATTTTGCTGCCTCTTGGCACTAATGCACACATTGCTGTGCTGTTTTCCTATCCGTATAGACTTGAAAATGACTAAGATACATTGAGAGTGACAGACCCCCTTAAAGCTGGCCAAGCCATGACTAACATTTCTCTATAAGGGAGAAGGTAGCCATCACCCTCCATTCATGTGATAAAGGAAGTGGCTACTTCATAGGTAACATTGCTTATTGGGACAGCTCCAGAAGCTTCATACTTTGGATCAGGTACAGTCATTTAAGAGCTTTACTTCACCTCAGTGCACAATAATATGTGAAACAGTGGGGCCGAGGTGCAGAACAGATTCAGTTTGTCACCAGGAAAAGGCTTGTGTGTGCCAAGGCTAACCAAGGATAAATTTTATTTATTTATTTATTTAATTTAAATGCCTTATTCTATATAATAAATTTTAAAATATGTTTAATTTATTTATTTATTTATTTATTTATTTGATTTTTACCCCA